TTGATAATAGGCTTTACATGTTTTTATTGAACAGATTTAATTGCTAGATTTTAGTAAATCAAGCAGCATTAAAACACAGGATACTCTCTTGTGCTTCCTTCATACTGTTTTACTTTCTGTTATTGCCACAGCCACGAGGTTGCAGCAGGTGCACAGTATTTATTTTTGCATTTTATTTTGCATTGGCATTGCATTGACTTTGCATTGGTCTTTTCTCTGATACGTTGTGTTGCACATGTTTATACAATACTTTTAATTTAGTTATTTTCAGATATCTGGTGTATTTTCAGCCTTGGTGATATAGCATAAAAATATTCTACTAAGAATTAACTTTTTTCTCTCTCTCTCTCAATTGAACTGAAAAAACAACAACACAAGCCTAAAAAGTTGAATGTTATAGTGTCTTGTTGGTCACACAGTTAGGACGTCAGTGGAAACTACAGCTCATCATGTCATGAGGCCATGTTTCCACCACTATAAGCCTATAAACCAGCAGTCCAGTGTGTTAAATGGAAATCCAGAATATTGTCTTGTTTCAATGATTTATATTCTGCATGGTAGTCTGTTTTTGATCTTCTTAATTATGTTTCAGGTGTCAGTTCTTCTCCGCAAGAAAACTCCCATCATGCATCCAGTTCTCACCCTCATCCAAACAGAACGTCAGAGATGGTAAGTTTATTAGTCAGTGGGTTGTCTGAAAAACTAGCCTGTGTTAAGGAAACCTGTGTAGTTAGGTTGGTTTAAGGCTATGTCTACCAGACCAGATGCATTTATTAGCGATATATGAATGCTTACCACAGCTCTGCAATAGAGTTTACAGATATTCAACAAATACGGTAAATAAAAACTATGTAACCTTTTATTCAGGGTTGCAACAAATGTTATTTTTAGTATTTTATTAAAAAAAATAAAAAGTTACATCCTGCCTATTATTTTCCTCCAAACAGATTGTAAACTGAAGAATGTATATAGGTAGGCTATGTGATGCTTAGTCTGTAAACGGGGGTTAAAATATAAACATTTCTAAAGTTTTCCATAGTTAAGTAAAACAAAAGCACAGACTTGAAACACACTTTCACTCATCTAGATATGGAAGTTATATTCCACTTATTACACAATTCTCTGGAATACTTGATTCTGATTGGTTAGTCACAACATTCTGAGGTGTGTCACTCCCCAGTAACAGTGTTAACAATGCTGAATAACATACCACTCATCCACGTATCACAGACTTGCTCTTTCATGATAGTTTATGAAGTATATTTGAGACAGTCTACAGACTTTCATAGACAACCTAAGAAGTCAGGGAAGGTTTTGTTTTTTGTTTCGTTACAAGCTGCTCACACATTAAAAATAAAAAAGCGGCTAATACATGAAGATTCTTACATACAGCCCCTTTAACAGTTTAGTTAGAATTGTTGCACTCCTGTTCTTTTGTCGGTTTGACATGCATACAAGTCTCGCTTTCTGTCAGGACAAACTTTTATACAAAATGAAAACAAAGATGGAAATACTTTTGACTTTCGAACATTTACAGATTAAGGTTATAACTGTAATGTTGCTGTTTGTGCGTGAAAAAGATGTGCAATGTACAGCATGGTATAATCAATGATATAAGAAATCAAATACAATGCTGGACAATAATCAATCATTTGAAATCTATAATTTACATTTCTATAATCTATAATCACTTCAATTCAATCAATTTTTCCTCTGTCCATGCAATAAATGCACAGTCTCCGACTGCTCAGGTAATGTCGCCGGTATGACAGAGAGCCATTGAAAAACTACAGAAAAGCAAAACTACTTCACTTTAGCATTACTGGCCACGAGTACACTAAGGAGAGATCACACATCAGCTGCTCAAAAAATGTGTCAGTGAGACGAACGGAGCGTGAGCGCAATCCTGTGACAGTCGCAGGCGGTAAATAGTGGAGCGCGTGAAGGAGAGATGCAAGGGCACGAACACTGTTCAAGGTCTCCATTAATTCATGCTTGTAGTAATTTAATGTGTATATATTTTTAAAGCATTGAATCGCTATAGAAATCGCGATTCATCCGATTCTTAACGTTTTAAATCGATTACTGTCCGAAATCGACGATTCACGATTCAAAAATCCATGTTTCAAGATCGATGCATATGCATCATCAGGGTTTGTAATCGATGCATAGAGAAAATGAGTGAATCGTTTCACCCCTACTGTATGTGCATCCAAATGAGGTTTTGTGAGATACCATTCATATCAGGCGCTGTTTGTTAATTACATCTTTACAGTGTGCGCCAGTTTTCAGCAAGCAACAACGAACAAAATACAAGGCGATATGTCTGATTTGCAAACAAATTACTGTTCTTTTTTAATTTATGAAAAAGATTTTCCGGAAGCATTACATTAAATAATTTATCATTTATCATTTCCTCATTTCGCTTTGGATAAAGGTGTCTGCTAAATGTCCAAATGTAAATGTAAATAACTTATGAGTTAGTGGCTCAGACTCAGTTAATAAATTGTTTAGAGCTATTACTAAGTTTGTGACTGACTCCCTCATAGATTTTTCGCTCTTCTGATTCCAAACAAATTGTAAATTGTTTCTGTGGTGTATATTTTAATTCATGTGGGACTTTAAACAATCTTTTTACCAGTTGGTCAGATAGTATGACAATGTGTAAGTAAATATATTCATTCATAGCAGAGTTTTGTACTTTAATTGTATTTTGTATTTAAATCTACCATCTAAACATTTTACAAAAATATTATTTGTCATTGGTAAACATAGTAAGATCCACCTGTAAGGTTGAATTGAATATATGGGATATTCAAAGCACTGTTGAGTGCTTTAAAAAAAGAAAATAGGAAAAAATCAAACAAGTTGTCGATCACACTAATAAATCATCTTGACTCATCTGTGTTCAGGGATACCACAGTAATACAATTTGAACATTTTGTTGTGTGCTCATCATTTTACGGAGGACTTCTCTAATCTTGGCTTTTATCTTCGTTGCTTTTAATCTTCGTTATTTGGACTAACAAGCTCTCCGAAACACAACCTGTAAGTACTATTGATTAGAGCCTGACCGATATGGGTTTTTTGGGGCCAATACCGATATTAATCCCAATTACAGAGCGTCTTTTGTCTGGCGTTCTTCAAACATTACAGTAGACATATTTTGGTTTGCAAACTATTGTTTCATCAGTTAGTCACGCTAGCACTCGGCTAACATATCCACCATTATTGTTTTAAGTGTTTATCGTTACAGTTTAGCAGCTGAACTTTAGTTGTGGACACGATTCGCTTGCAAAAGTGTTTTTGTATTTTATGCCATTATTTTAAGAACGGATTGGAGCACTATATTATTGTTTTATGTAAAGGTGGCGAATCGTCAGTGGTAGCGCTCGCTAACTTGCTCAAGGACTCCTCTCTGTGCCAATCACAACAGACTTGGCCAGCTGACCAATCAGAGCAGAGTAGGCTTATGGAAGGGAGGGGTTTGCTCCGAACTTGCTTGGAAATAGGGATGTCAACGATTAATCGATGATCGATTAATTGTCGATAAGAGGATGCAATCAATTAAAGCTTTCGATGGTCGATTATTTTGGGCTGCGTGCGGCTCATGCACAAAACACGTGCGAGCGGCTGTGAGTGATGGTGACGGTATATAAATGCGTCATCATTCATTCATAATGTACAAATTAAGCTTTTAATGTGATTTAAACTTTAATTTAAAATAGAAACAACACAAAGTTCTTCAACATGGAAAGCAATAGAAATGTAGTAACAGTCATTTCCCCAGATAATTCTTTCATATCGGGCTCTGCGCTTTGCAGGGCTGCGGGACACAGGACAGATAGGCTATTAATTTCTACAACTTGTTAATTCGTTCCTACGACTTATTCATCTGTGGCCACTGTCCATGTTTCATTAATTTTGTTCCTTAAATAACCCATGATTTAACTAAAATGAGGTTACAAATTAATAAATTGAACGAATTCTTAATTCATGGCCATGAAATCTTTCATTTCCCTTCCGCATGTTTACCACAGTAAGAGATGCGAAAACATTGATAAAAAGTGAATGACAATAAAATAAACCTGCAAAATTAGAGGGTTAAACGGTGAGGATTTAGGAAAGAAACAATGCCTAAATATTATTGAATTTGTGGAAATTCGTGACCAACCGGCAAACCAGAACAAAGCCGCGTGAATGTAGGCTATATGGGCTCGAACGGCATCCAAAAAGCATGGTCGCGATGTAACATTTTCCAGCTAACCAATTATTCCTCTAATAAACAAAGCTTTTATACCACACTTGTCATAATCAGAGCTTATAATTTGCGCGGCGCTCCATAAACAAGTTTGTTTCAGCTGTTCGATCGCGCCGTCACCTCACGCGCACACACCCCACATATTCTAGCAATTCAAACTTACATCGCAGTCTGTTCATTAACGAAATAAAATAGCCAACCAAACATATAAAAGGTTACACTGGTCAGTTTAAATAGACAAGTATACTGGTCCACTCTGCTGTTATGCCAAGGACTTTTTTGCTCATGTGAAGAAGATGATCTTTTAAAGCACTGCTGTTGATGTGCCCTTTTTTAGGCAATATTTGAAAAATTTAGTTTTTAAATTAAATCTTAAAAATGTTTTCTAAATATTTAATGCATTATTTAATTATTTTACCATTAATAATTAACTTAATTTGTAGTTAACTAGTTAAGTTTTTAAATAATTAACCCTACTAGGCCGTTGGTGTCTGGGCTTATTTATTTTTAAATTACATGAGACTTTGTGACTTTCTGCACTTGCTATACTTCATACTACTGGATATAATGGTATGTCCCAGTCACTTCACACCTCTCCTAACTGATGTTGTGCTTCAATGCCACTAATCCACAATATCACAAATATGTGATATTTCCTAAATGTTAATTTAGCCAAGTAGGATTTAGTATATTTGGTATGTTGATGTATTGTTGCAAATAAGCTTATTTACTGGATTGC